TCCTCCTCCTCCTCCTTCCTCCTCCTCCTCACTCCTCCTCTTCCTCCCCCTCCTCCTCCTCCTCCTCCTCCTCCAGCTCCTCCTCCTCCTCCTCCTCCTCTTCTTCTTATCCTCATCATTATTATTCTTAGTATTAGTACTATTATTAGCCCCATGATATTATTATTAGTAGGATCGATAAAATGTATGAATATTATTAATATTGTTATTCCGTAATAATAATAGTACTATTATTACTACATGTTACTGATATTTGTATTGTTAGCATTAATAGTACTATTACTCGTATTATTAATATTTATCAACCGTATCATTAGTATTCGTAGTATTCGTGTTATTCGTACTACGCATGTCATCATTCGTATGTATTAGTAGTCGTAGTAATAGTCGTAGTAGCCGTCTTCTTATTAGTGTTATTAGTACTCGTATTCGTACTGGTATTATCAGTAGTATTATTAGTGGTCGTATTAGTAGTAGTATCAGCACCATTATCATTACCACGACCAGTAGCATTATCATTAGACGTATTATTAGTGGTAGTATTAGTATTCGTAGTATTAGTGCGATGATTAGTAACATTAATAGTATTATCCGTACTAGTACTATTTATGTTAGTTGTATTAGTAATACTAATATTACTATTAGTCGTGCTATGCTTAAAGCTATTAGTAGTAGTAGTAGTAGTATGGTGACGTGTATTATTAGTATTAATACTAACCTTCAAGGTAATCATAAACGAATTCGTAGTCCTCATAGTGTACTTATTAGTATGCTTGTTCCGTCTTAGTTGTATTATTAGTTTTGCTCCCCCTTGTTCCTCCTCCTCCTTGTCCACCTCCTCCACCTCCTCCTCCTCCTCCTCCTCCTCCTCCTCATCTCTCCTCCTCCTCCCTCCTCCTCCCTCCTCCTCCTTCTCCTCCTCCTTCTCCTCCTCCTTCTCATCCGCCTTCTCCTCCTTCTTCTCCTCCTCCTCCGTCCTCCTCCCTCCTCCTATCTCCCTCCTCCTTCTCTTCCTCTTCCTCCTACTCCTCGTCCCTCCTCTTCCCCCTTCTCCTCCTCCTCCTCCTCCTCCTCCTCCTCTCCTCCTCCTCTTCCTCCTCCTCCTCCTTGTCCTCCTCCTCCTCCTCCTCCTCCTCCTCCTTGTCCACCTCCACCTCCTCCTCCTCCTCTTCCTCCTCCTCCTTCTCCTCCTCCTCCTCCTGGAAGGCGCTGGCCTTGGCCGCGGCCGCCGACCCGTGGAGCGGGGAGCGGCAGCGACGCGAGCGAGTGCCAGCGCCTTCGGCTGTAAATTTGGCGATCCAGAATTCGTCTCACGCATTTTCCATGTGCGGATCCAAATGGAAGTGTGACCGTTGTCCCTTGCTGGTGCCGCAGAGCAGGATCGTAAGGGTAGCAGCGACAGCCTGCCGAGGGCTCCCTGATCGAGGTTGTAGCGGGGACGAGGGCGGAGCTCGTTGCTGGTAGGACCTTCCATCCTTCTCACACGCTGCAGCGTTGGGATCGGTATCTCATGACTTTCTGCTCAACCTGTGGGCGGTACGCCACGGCTGACGGGCGCCAGCTCGCCGCGAGGTGTGAGCCGTCGCGTAAGGGACGCGGAAACTTGTCGAGGATTCGGCAAGGGCTCTATCCGAGGCGTGAGGGTGTGCCTGCGGCCGTCCAGCGCGCCTTGACCGAGCGGCTGGCGGCACAGTGTGCGGTGCCTCCTCCCCCTCCCCCTGCCGAAGGAGCTGCTCTGCAGCCCGTCGGGGCCTCTCCTGCGGCTGAGCCGTAGGTGGATGCCCTGCGTGGTTGCTCTGCGGGTCCGTCGGTGGCCTCCCTCCTCCTCCCCTGCACGACCTCTGTGCTGAGTCAAAAGGTCCAAAAGGTCCTCCTTCTCCTCCTCCCTTTCTTCCTCGACCTCCTCGTCCTCCTCGTCCTCATGCTCCTCCCCCCACTCCTCCTCTCCCCCCTCCTCCATGCCAGCGGGCCAAAACGATCCAACACAAAAGGCGAAACGTACCCCCAGCGAGCGGCTCCATACCAGCAGTGATCAAGGGCTGTTGCCAAAAACGTTGAACACGAGGAAATCGCCACGGAAGGAGGGACGAGGGAGAGGACACGAGCCATCGGTGAGCACCACACACTACGAGTTTTCACTCGGGGCAAGGCTTGGATGCGGATGCGGCCTGCGGCCTGCGTCGAGGCGCCCCGGGGGGCGCTGCAAAGGGGGCGCCGGGGCGTCTCGCAAGGATGGCGGGGTGAAACAAGGGAGGGTGCAACAGGGGATGGGGTAGAGATAAGAATAGACAAGAAAACGGCACATCATACTACGATGTGCGTGACATGTGCAGCAATACGCCACTCACTGCTCAACGAAACCTTGCCTCAATATGTACCACTCCTCTGTTGCTGCAAATGCCAATACTCAGTCGGGGTTGTTGGGTTCAGAGCCGTTCGTTGCGCGTGTCCCAGCTCATCATCCCACCATCGTGTCTTCGGTCGTCCAACCCGTCGTTGCGTCTGTGTCTGCGCATCCCGTTCAGGATCCCACCGTAAAACTGCTCGTGCCCACTCCTTTGTCCTACTCGTAGCAAGCTGGCGGACCCAATCCCATCTACGTTGCTTGATAAGCGTATTCCAGTCAGTAATGCTCATTTTTCAAACTGCATGGTGTGCGTGCTGTGTTGCACGTTTGATCCATTCTGACCTAGGCTCCAGAAAATCCTCTTCCTCCTCCTGGTCTGGAAGGTATGTCGCTGAAAATGGCGACGGTGGCGCGCGATCCACATCTTTTCCATTGCCGGAAATAGAACCGTCATAATTGTCGTTGACGTTTCCGGAGTCTGTGTTGTTGCGGGGGCTGTTGTCGGATTGGTGCTGCTTTCGTCGTGTTGTTCTGGCCGTTTTCCTTTTGGGCGTCTTGACGATCATGTGGAGCATTTGCCATTGGGTTCGGCGGGTTCGATTCGATAGCTCGTCTGTCATCCACGCCTCGCACCCGTACAAAATTGTCAGCGTGATTGCCCCGTGGAATAATCGGATACGGTTGTTCATGGAATAGTGGGTGCCCGCGAGCTCCTGCTTAAGCGAATGGAGCTGTGGCCGTGCAGAAGCATTATGTGTTCCACTTCTGCCTTGTGGCTGTCGCAGAATTGCAATTTGCGCACCAAGTACTTGGTCGCGCGGAACGGCGGGATCACCTCGACCGCCATTCCGTGAAAGAAGACGTGCGTCGGTGGTTGTCGTGCTCGTGTTGGCCTGTGCCCGTTGTGCAAGACCTTTGTCTTGTCTGGGTGTAAGTGCAGCCCAGCAGCTTCTGATTCATTGCTGAAGTCGGAAAGCATTTGCCTGATGTCGTTGCCCGACCGTGCAATTAGGAGGATGTCGTCGGCGAAGCGCAGGTTGTTCAAGGGGTCTCTGCTGCTTGGTGGCAGCTGGATACCGTACCGCCTTGCTGCCCATCTCTTTTTCACCCGTCTCATAATGTGTTCTGAGACGCAGTTGAAGAGTAAGGAGCTGAGTGGGTCCCCCTGCTGAGAGCCCCGTTCGATTTTGAAGTTCTTGCTGGGCTGGTCGGTTTTCATAGAACCTGTCTGTTGATTGTACAGCTTCTGGAGCGACGCGATGTCTGCTGCTGGTACATGCTGGTCTTGCAAAGCTCCCCAAATGCTCGCGTGCATGACGCTGTCGAACGCCTTCTTGAAATCAATTTCTGCGGCCCAGAGTGGAACCTGCCATTCGTCACTAATATCCATGCGAAGCGCTGTCGTAAATCAATGGTCGGTTGTAGTCCGGTTGGGTCTGAAGCCAGCTTGGTCGGGACTCTGCTGGTGGTCGAGAGTAGCGCAGAGGCGACTGTGCAGCAGCTTGGAGAATACTTCGTAGAGCATCGGAATCGTTGCGATGGGTCGATAACTTGC